TAGTTCTTTTTAGGGTTAAGAATACAATAAACATACTCACAGAAGAAGACTAATGATTTCCCGAGGCTATATAGCAAGGGGACGGCATATAAAAACTTTAAATAAATAAATAAATTTATTAAGCAAAAAGTAAGATGGATCGATTCCAGAGATGCCTTGGGTTTTTTTTTGCAGTTCCTCACAAATATATTTATTCAATTAACTTATATTCCACATTACTAGTCAATAGGACTCTCATACATTCCATTATGTACGTATGAACAGATCTTCCTTCTACCTCTGACCAAAAACAGGAGCCATGATTGTCGTTGTAGGTCCAACATTCCTGAAGGAACACAAAACACAAGTTTCCTCAGAAAAAGTAACATCACTATTGTCCTCAGAAGGGAATGTTATACAGTGGGTCAGTGTTGTTACCTGCTGTGACTGGGGAGGAGCTGAGATCATCCTGGTCCCCAGTGCCACCCAGCAATTTGGAAACATTAAAGGTCAAGCTACCCATGACATTTGTCATGCAGTTTGCCCCTGAGAGTAATGTTCCTTTCATAAATAATCAGTCTGGTCCTCCTGATCAGGACCAGACTGATTATTGAATCCTGGAGTGCCTGTGGAAGAGGCTGGAGTGGTGGTCCTGAAACCTTGCATCCTGCTGTGCTCCTAGAGTTTTTATTCAGAAGTAAGAACCACTGAGTTCAATAGGACTTACTCCCATGTAAGTGTGAATAGGTTACAGTCTCAGTGAGATTTGACTCCGGGACTTACTAGGACAATCATGTTTTAAAACCATGGCTATTCCAACATTCTAGTCTAGTGCCGAATATTTGTAGAGAAGCCTTGAGATGTGTAAGCACTGGAGCACTGGAATTTAGGATCCTTGTACACATTTTATAAATATGTCGATCCAGATCTATCTTCTACAAAGCCTGCTAGACTGCCACAGAGAAGAAGGAGCCCATACAAGACAAGGAGAGTTAGAAATCTGTTTCAGTTAGACATGTGCTCCCCTCATATTCCTTGAATAAAATATATACCCACACTTTGCAGATTCCATCAAGATTCCAGTGACAGAATATGACCAAAGTAGGACACAGAAAATGGTCTCGACAAGCCAGCCCACTCGCAGAAACCACTTGTATCAGGGCTGTTGCAGAATTTCAGCACTCTTTCCTCAGGGTGTCATGCTTGGTTTCTTTTCAAATCCACCTCTTATTCAGTGGTTGCTGAATCATCTCAAGTAATTGATTTACTAACAGCGGTTAGTCCATCACAGAGAATCTAACTTTCTCCCTCCTGAGCATTACATGTGGTCTAGAAACACCGCAAGATTAGCCACTTTAGTTTCGGATTAGGGGTGGATGGGTTGTCCAGTCTCATGAAGGATAACCATGTGTAATTAGTACATACATCAGCAGAGAGTGTGGATAAACACCAGGAGCAGCAATTCCATGGTAAATTTTGACAAGAAGGCACTCATCATGACAACCTGCACAGTCACAACTCCAAGGAGGGTCCAAAAATGGGACCCTAGTAGTTTTCATTTGCACCAGAAATAGCCATTTCTGGAGCAAATGGCCAAATTAAAACCCATTTATAAAGTGAATGGGTTTTAATTGCCCTTGCTAGATCAAAACACCCCTCCCCCAAATACTTTGCATTATAGCAAGGATAGCTCACAACTACGTAACAGCAAACAAGACATTGTTGCAGGGAAAAACCAGTGCATGTTAGCTAGTGTGAAGATGACAGCTAAGCTCAGAGGACAGGGAGATGTCTAAGGGGGTGGCAGATGACATCAGCTTCCCTGCTAATCAAAAAGCGCTGGTGCTTGGTCTGGCTCCGCTACTCCACTGCTCAGCAGAGGCAAATATTAACTTCTTCAGTGTTTCATTATTTGGGACATTAGTACTAACTAATTGACTCACATATTTAATAAGTTAAACATCAAGCCCAAATTCTTAATAATATACTTTGATCTGTGATCGCCCTTGAACTACTGCTTGGAGTGCATTTGGGCCATTTGTGGATAACGGGCTATCTCTGCCTCTTGGCCTCCCTTTGTATATGCTGCCAAGCCCCATCCATTTGACACCAACAGCTGAAAGGGAGCAGAGAGTTTCTTCACTGCCTAACATCTGCCAGATTTATTAGAGTGGGTAACTAAAGTGCAGGATTCTTATCTGCTCAGGTATTTCTCCACCAGTTAAAACCCTGATAACATCTCCAACCAGTTTCCTGAAATTGCTACACAGTGATGATGATAGACACCCGGGAGTATTTAGAGTAGAGTTTGCAGAATTGCCTCCCCCTCATCATAAAGATGTCATATAGTGTTCCTGTGGACAGGGTTTTGCCATTCCTCTTTCAAAGCATCATTTATTTATTTATTTATTTTTATTTTTCAATTTATATCCTGCCTTTTTCCTTCAAAGGGCTCAAGGCAGCTTACATCTCCTCCATCTTATCCTCACAACAACAACCCTGTGAGGTAGGTTGGGCTGAGAGTCTGTGACTGGCCCAAAGTCACCCAGTTGGGTCCATGGCTGAGTGGGGACTAGAACCCAGATTGCCTGAGTGCTTTCCATAGCCTTAGTGCCATGTTTGTGACCATGCATGTCTTTCCATGACTTCTTTCTCTTTCTGTCCCTGTCCTGTCCCTCTCCTAAACTCTCTGGGCATCTTTTGTTTATTTAGCTTGTGCTTGAAATGTCTGGCCCCAGATCCAGGTACCTGCTGCTTGAACCTGGTTGTGTTTAGTCCCTGAAATAGGATTTTACTGGCTTTCTTGTACAAATTGGCTCTCAGCTCCGTACTCCAATCTGTAAAATGGGTTAATGTTTTCTAATTGCTGCATTCCATATACTGCATGTGGATGACATAAGAAGGGCCTTGCTGGGTAAGGAAAAAAGGATACAAAACACTTGCCTTGTACAGCATCCTGTTTTCCAAAGGCCTCTGGAAAGTCCAAAGGCAGGTCATGAAAGAAACAGCCTGCTACTGGTGGTGTTACAAGTGACTAGTATTCCAAAGCGCAGTGCTGGTGATCCTGCAGCAGAATATAGTTACCACGACCAGTAGCCCTTTGGCCTTCAACTCCTCATGGCTGGTTTGGGCTTGCTGGGAGTACTAGGCCTTTTTCTGTCTGATCAGGCATAGACTTGCATGCTTATTTTCTAATTCCCTCTTAAAGCCGTCCAAGTTAGCAGCCATCAGCACATTTTCTGGTAGCTCAGTTCCATGTTAACAATGCACTTCCTTTGGGCTGTCCTTAGCTTCCAATCATTTCATTTCATTGGATTATCCTAGTTCGAGTATTACAAAAGAGGGAGGAAAAACTCCATGAACAGTTTCTCAACACCATACTTCATTTCACACACTTCTTCCCTCTTCTGACATGCCTCTTTTCTAAACTAAGGAGGCTGAAAACTGTAACCCTTCTACATAGCAAATCATTCTCCTAATTATTTGGCAATTTAGGTACCTTTCTAGATATTCTTTTAGAGGTGTAGTGGTCAGATATGTACACAGTATTCTAAATGTTGTCACTCTACAGAGATTTGTATAGCGGCATTACAATCCTGGCAGTTTTCTCTTTAATCCCTTACCTAATAATCCCCAATTTAGCTTTGGACTTTGTTTTTTCATAGCTGCTGGACACTGAGTTGAGTTTCCATTGATCCATCTACCATGATCCCAAGTTCTCTTTCCTGGTAAGTTACTGCCAGCTAAGACCTCACCAAGTTAGAATTTTATTTGCTTAGTGGGCATCCCTGTACACTTGTTTGCACTGAACTTCATTTGCTATTTTAATTCCTGTTTAATTCCAATAACTTTTTGGAATTCTTCCCTATTCCGTTTTGTTTTAACCCACCCTAAATAATTTAGGGTCATGTTGAACCATGATCATTTCACAGCTCACCCATAATTCCAGATCATTTATGAATGCATCTGAAAACAACAGTCCCAATTTAGATTCCTGGAGGATTGAAACATAGAAACAGAGTGAGTCAGGAGTGGGGGGGGGGGGGAGGTCCTCCCAGATCATCTAGTCTGACCCCTGCCTCCAGCCAGCTCCACTCATGACATGCCTACCATGCCTTCCACTGTTTATAGCCACCATTTCGAGAACTGTCCACTGATTCCATTTTTCTTGATATCCAGCCTTGTTACTGTTCTGAGCAACCCAAGCCAGCTTACGTAGCACCATTAAATCCTCACAACAACCCTGTGTGGTAGGTTAGGCTGAGACTAACCAGCCCAATTCAGCCAGTGAGCTTCATGGTTGAATGGGAAGTAAAACCTGGCCCTCCTAGGTTCCCAGTCAATGCTCTAATCACCACAACACACCAGCTCTGTTCCTTAACCAGTTACTGATCCATAAAAAGACATTTCTTGCTCCATGTTTACTAAGTTTGCTCAGGAGTCTTTGGTGAGGTGTCAAAAGCCTTTTGAAAATCCAAGTGAACTACAACTTCTAGAGAATTCCTATCCACTCAGGTTCCAAAGTTGAACTGATTTCAGAAGCTGGACAGAAATAATTCTGCTCTTCTTTCAGTTCTCTGTAGGACTGCAAAAACTGCAGATAGTACCACAGAGGAATGGATTCCAATTTGTGGTGTGTACTTTTTATTATGTGGTGTGTGATTTTTTTTCTTTCTATCACCTCCTTCTCTAAGCAAGATCATGCAGTTACAAGTTCTGCAGGAACTTTGGAAAGAGATGTGCTTTCTGGCCCAAGCAAGGTCTCATATCCCACATACCCGGACTGAACGATGCTAATAGGCCCCTCCAGCTAGGTCTTCCTTGCAAAGGCAGGACACGGGCCTCCGCTGTGGCTAAAAGGTCTGGATTTGAAAGCACTAGGAAGCAATCTGAAAAGGTGCCTTTGCTTTTCACGAGTTCAGCAAGAATGCGGAGCAGGAGTTTCTGGCTTGGGTGGGACGAATGCACAGCCAGGAGAGGCGAAGGCTTGGGCGGAGCATCCGCAACTTGAGGCTAACTGGCCGGGCCAGTTTAAAAGGGGCTCCAGCTCTTTGCAGGAAAGCAGCGCTTGCCGAGCCGCTCAACAGTCGTCAGGGAGATTGGAGATCGCTGCGCGAGGAAGATGGGAGTCACGCTGGGCTATTGGGATATCCGTGGGGTAAGTCGCGGGGCGTCCTCTCGACTAGCGAGCCTTCCATTGTAACGCGGACGTCCCTCTTCTTTTGACTGGCGAGATGCAACCGGAGAAGTGCTACGAAGACTCATTTGTAGGCAGGAAACTCGTCGCTGCCTGCTTGCCTGCCTGCGAGTCAAAAGTCGTAGATCCTGCAAGAAAGTGGGGCTGCAGCGGCCCTGGAGCCCGAGGCCGCGATCCTGCATGCCCACACGAACCTGCAAGTGAGCCACACTGAAGTCGGTGGCACTTGCTTTTCAGCAGGCAGGCACGGGTCGCCGAATCTGCGGCCCACTCCGGCCCTTCGGTGCGCTTCCCTATTAACTTCAGTGAGGATTAATAGATTTAAAGGGAAGCGTTTTCTCCCAGGCTGTTTCTTCTGGGCGTGGAATCGGCCAGCCAGTCCCGGCGCTGGAGCGGCTTCCCTCCCCTGCTCCTGGGCAGCCTTACCCCTGCACTTGGAAATGAAGGCCACAACCGGGCAGCAGATTGAGGAAAATGGGCACGGCATGGAGAAGGGGAAGGCGCTGCTGCTCTCTCCTCAGCTTTTTGAGAAAGTCAGCCGCTGGCCAAGAGTCAGCCTAAAAGTTGTGTGTGGAGGGTGTCTCCTAAACATCATCGGATTTGCAGGCCTTTTAAAGGAAAAATTGTGAATTAAAAAGAATATTTATTTGTAAAAGGGAAAAGAAAAATAGGGAAAGAGAAAAATTAGGGGAGCAATCCTCCTGTAGCCCACCTTGGCTACAAATGGGCCCCTCTGTGGGCAGGCTTGGCTCCTTCATTTCTCAGAGGCAGAGGTGGAGTGTCTTAGAGCTCTTTGTTCAGTAATGGGGTTGATGATCATGCTCATAGAGCCAGTGTGGTGTCGTGGTGAAGAGCATGGGAATGGGACTCAGACGACCTGGGTTCTAGTCCCCGCTCAGCCATGGAGCCAACTGGGTGACTTTGGGCCAGTCACAGACTCTCAGCCCAAGCTACCTCACAGGGTTGTTGTGGGGATAAGATGGAGGAGGAGATGTAGGCTGCCTTGAGCCCCTTGTAGGAAAAAGGCAGGATATAAATCGATAAATAAATAAATATAGGTATATTTGCAAAGGGGGATGTAATGCCTGGGCCACACAGGATGACTAACATCACTGCATGAAAATATCTACCAAATCAACCTAAGACTACCTGCTATTGAGTCAGAATACTGGCCCATCCAGGCCAGTGCCATCTAATCTAACTGGCAGGAGTGTTTTTGGATTCCAGAGAGGAGTCTCTCCCAGACCTGCCTGGAGATCCCTGAGACTTTTGGCACACAAAGCACAGTCCTGCCACTGAACTATGTTCTGTCCTTCATCTGGAACCACCAGAAGTGCCTCATCTGAAAGCCATCCTGAGGCCACTGCAAAGGAGGACATATAAATATTTAGATTAAATTAAATTAAATCTGATGAGCTCAGGGACTGGGCAGGCTGATAAAGGAGGAGCTTTCTCAAATAGTCTGGTGCCCATCAGTGCATCTAGTCCAGTACTGAAAACACTGACAGGCAGCAGTTCTCCAATGCTTCCTACCCCATTCAAAGATGGTGAGCATTTAACTGAGAACCTTCTGCATATAAAACCTCATCTCTTCCTCTGGGCCATGGGCCCTCCCACAATTTAGGGCTTTTATACTAGTCACATCATCTTAAAGCATATAGGTACAAGCGCAGTTCCTTCAGCAAAGCTGTTACTTGCTGAAAAGGGGCAGTCCCTGAAAACAGGAGAGCTGCTGGCAACTGAAGCTTCTAAGGGCAAGGTCCACACAAAGCAAACATGGTAATCTGGCCCTGTGGCTACTAGTGTGTATAACACTGTGGCCAAACTATTCCTGCTTATCTTAATAGTTCTTGCAACAACCCTGCTGCAAGGACAGATTGGCATTATTTGCCTCCAGCTATTACCCAGCTCCAGAAGGAGGTGCGCTTGAAGCTGAGAGGGTGATCTCAGCCACAAGGGAGCTTTGCAGCAGAGCTGATGTGTGAACTCCGGGTAGGGGCTGGATCCTGATTCATACAGCTTACGTTTCTACCCACAATGCTACACTACATTTCAACCAATAAGAATAGTTCTGCCAGCCGATTTACACGTAGATTTCCTCTGATGATGCTAAATAAGACAGTTGTGGGGAGGGGGAGATGGGGGGTGTCTAAAGCCTCTCTGAGCCCAGGTTGCTTGGTTAACCTGAGTCCAGTGAGGTCTACTTGGGAATTCAGATGCCTGCTAATTTATGGCTGGAGTGGGGAACCTGTGGTCCTTTAGACTCCAACTCCCACCCTCCCTGCCCATTGACCATGATGTCCAGAACTGCTGAGAGTTGGAGTCCAACAACATCTAAAGGACCACAGATTCCCCATTCCTGATTTAAGGTTTTGTCTCCTGCAAATGACAGAGGCTACATTTGGATGTCCTGCTAAACTAGGATTTCTTGCAGGAATGGATATCCTTCACCATAGGTTGTTCTAGCGAAGGTTGAAGGGAATTGTAGGCCAAGAGATCTGGAGGGCTTCGAGTTGTCCATCTTGGTCTGTCATAATGCAAATGGTCCTTGCCTCCCGGGAGGCTTTTGTGCACCTCTCTCATCTGGCATGGCTATGAGGAAAAGATTTCAATTCATTGCAGATAAATGCATCTTGTGATCCCTAAAATTTTCTTACTTTTATCTATTTAAAATCAAGTGAGTGTCATTAACTTTGGTCTGGTGCTGTCTTGTTTCAAACAACCTACAGTTAAGACTGGCCAGAGTGTGGATGATGTGTGCGTAATCTAAGACAGCAGCACATGTCTCCAAATACCTCCTTGTGGCTGAGCAGTTTATTAGGCTTATTCCTGTTATGATGAGCCACGGGTTACGTTATCATGTCCTTCAGGTGCAGCCATTGACAGGGAACAGAGCTTTCAGGAATATGGAATGTGAGCATGATAGTGGAAGGGAACCACTGTTGCTTCTCTTGTCTATAAAAGGCCTCATTAGCCGCTACATATTAAGCTGCAGTCCTGTGCATGTTTGGACAGAAGAAAGTCCTACAAAATGCTACTTTGGATGGGAGTTTTTTTTCTGTCTAAACATGCAGGATCCTACCTTTAAGAGCAGAAATAGAGCCCAGCTAGATCAAAGGCCTACCTGTTCCCACGGTGGCCCATGGGAGGTCCATAAGCAGGGCACAAGTGCAGGGACACCTGCTGCTCTCTGCTCCAGCATACTGGTCTGCAGAGACATGCATATGGCCTGATTTTATTATGGGAGGTAATATAAAGCTATCTTGATTATCTCTCAGAGCCTTGGATTCCATTTTACTAATTCTCTTCTTTTACCCCCTGCAGCTTGCCAATCCAATCAGACTACTTCTGGAATACACAGGAACATCCTATGAGGACAAGCACTACAGTGGCTTGGGAGAAGGTAAGGAACTAAAAGGATCTTTCAAGATCAAAAGCAATGTGCCTCTGATTGCTGAACATTGGGTCAAGCAAAGGGGAAAGGGGCAGTTACCTTTGTGTTTGGAAATTCTGCTGGTAACTTCTTATGTCAGATGGTTTCAATATGATGGTGTGTCTCTCTCAAAACTTTTGCTGCTTTCTGCCAGAACTGGGCCCCACCATTTCCCCTGCTGTACTAACACACAAAAGCTCTGAACAAACACTCTTCTACAATTCTGCCATATTTTATTACTGACCTTTCCCATAGCACAGAAATGATGTCATCTTTTTGGAGCAAGAATTTCTCTCTTGAACAGAAAGCAAGAGAGCAGAGAAAGCTAGATCTCCAAGAATACTTTGACCCAGAGAGGATAGTCTAAAAGCCATTCATGGTTTTAGTTTGACTGGAGAGAGAGGGGATTATCTTCTGCTGTAACTACTGGTTGTACTTTCAGAATCAAAGTGGCATTGTTCCAGAACAGACAGAATCCAAATCTGAACCCTCTTGGAATGTTTTAGGGATCTGGAGGAATACAGAGACTCACATGGGCTGGCTTTGCACATCAGGTTAAGTCACCCTGTAAATAAGCCACCTCGGGTTGGTTCATTGCAAAACAATACACAGAACTCCCTACAGTCAGTTGGACTTGTCACGGATTGCTCTCCTCCTCTTTCACCCTAAGTTCTCCTGATGGCTCTGGCAAGTAACCCAGGAGTCTTTGTTGCAGAACTCCTCATTGCCCCAGTCCTTGCCTCCGCACCCTTTCTGCAATTGCCCACAGGGCTTGCTGTTACCAAGGCAAACTCTCCATCCTCTGCATCAGTTTGTCAAATCATGAGCACAGTAGCAAAGTCACCAGCATTTAGGGGGAGGGGGAACATTTTGCTGTTGCACATTCCCTCCCCATGTTATTTAGAGAAGCATCCCACATTCCCACTTTGATACTTACATTGCTTGAAAGCAAACACTTGTGTCACAATACTCTAAAGCAAGCACATTTGCTCCTAAAGTATCTCCACTTCTCTAATATTTAGCAAAGCATCCTGCATTGCCCCTGCCCCTTTGGTGTTTCATTTGCTAGCTAGTAAACACCTTAAAGGGAAAAGAGAGCTGGCTTGACTTTACTCTAAAGTAAGCACACCCACTGACAAAGTGCCTTTCTTCCATCTGCTATGGGGTCCCCGGTCTTCTAGCTTGCCATTTCTTCTCATTGCTAGCTGGCACACTTTGGTATGGGTTATAGAGCAATGAGTAGGATGGGAAAGCATATACAAATGCCATGATAAAGCAGTAAAATGGAGGAGAAAATTGTGGAAGTGAAAAAGCAGCTGTCAGCTGAAAATAGCTGAGGGGGGATGGTGGTGGCATGAACAAGACTCTGAGGAGCAGCACAAGGTGTTGCTGCTCCAGCCAGGTAGCTCCCCAGCCTCTCCTGGCAACACACAAGAAATTGCCCAGCTGGGTTCAGATGACACAACAACCATAAAACAAGCCAAGAATTTGCAGGGTAGCTTTTTAATGAAAATAAACCACATGGTAGGTTGTCATGTGATATGAACCAGGTTGCTGTGTCTGCAGAACTAATACACAGAACTTTCCCCAAACTTTCTAGGATGGGAAAAGGGAGTAAAGCGAAGAGGCAGTACACATCTCTGGCTGACAGCAGTAACTTCTAGTCACTTTGCATGGTTTTATCAGGGCAATACCAGTGCTTTGGAGCAGGAATATTAAGGCTATAATATTCCATTGTTCTGAGCTCTTTACTAGTTTTCTCTCTTGGGAGCAGGAGTTTTAATATGGTTTTGTAGAGTCTGCAGGACCTGGGAGGATGTAGAATTGAATGCCTGTTCAAAAATGTTGGCTATCAGGTCCTATTGCCTCTGAGGCTGTATGTTCCAGATCCACAACCTCCTCCTGTCTTACTGCATTTTCTGTGACTTTGGTGATGATTGAGCAGAAAGCAAAATAAGTTCTTTCATTGTAATTTTCTAGCCCCTGTACCCATCCTTCTGAAATTATGCAGAAGGACCACCTTTATGCTATATGCTATTTTTATTATACTCCCTCAAAACAGAGAGGTAGAAATGCAGTTTTTATGTGGGGATGAGGAATGTGTAAATATCAGGGTTATAACTGGAAACATTTGGAATTGCTGACCCAAGGGAGAAACTGAGCACTAAAGAGAAAGGAAACTTGGGCATGTATAGAAGGGAACTTGGCACTTACTGTTTAAATCTATACTTACAGCTCCTGATATAGACAGAAGTCAGTGGACAAACGTGAAGGAGAAGCTGGGCTTGGACTTCCCAAATGTATGTAGCAGCTGTTGGCATAACCAGCGATGTGAAATTGTGGGTTGAGTGGGGTGGGGGTGTTTGCTGTTGCTCACACTGAGATAGGCAAAAGTAAGTAGGGGAGGGAACTGTACACACTCCTGCAAAACCACTTTGGATTGTCATGACCGCTTTGCTTCACAAGTCAAGCCTGCATCCCAGTTGAAAACCAGGACTGCCTGGGAGTTGAATTTAAAGCAGTGGGCTGCAGTGATCTTGACTTCTCCCATGAATTTCTGGCCTCTCTTTTGAGCACATGCCAAAAAAGGCAAGGGAGAAGAAATGTTCAGCAAATGTGACTTTAAAAACAGCACAGCCCCATGAATCCTACAACAAAGACTCTCACTGGATTTCCAAGGCATGGGTGACAAGCGTGATGGGTGATTGGGCTGTTTGAACTGGACTGTTTCTTGGAGGGTGGCTTTTTGAGAGAAACAAGCCTCTCTGACAACCCATAGTTTGTTCTAGGGCTTGTGGTATCTGTGATGAGTTGTCATGTCATCCAAACCCAGGTAACTGATCCCATTGTGGTTACTGAGAACCAGCAGCAAGCCACTTGGCAAAAGTGGCATTTTGGCATCCTGGCCCTGGCTTGTTGTCTCCCCGCATGATCTCAAGTCCTTACAGCTTGCCACAACTTTTTTTGTCCTTTTAACCTTCCCCCACCCCCATTCCACGGAGATGAGGCTCTCCAGCCTCATGGCTAGTTTACATGATCTCTGTTTTGACAGCCACTGAGAGCCCTTTCAAGGGGCCCAAGTGGCTCATTGGAAAGACAGTCAGTGATGTGGAAACAATGTATGTGTGCTCGCATGTGTTTGTCCCCAGAATATGTGCAAATGTTTTCAGCTTTGTGTTAGTGCACTTGATTAACAGTGGAGATGCACAGTTTTGCCAGTGTGGAACCCAGAGTTGTACAATATCTGGGGGAGCAAGCACCAATCCTGGGCATCCTTCTCAAGGGGCTTCAGGCAGAGCTTTCCTTTGCCTTGCTTTCTCTTTACAGCTGGCAAAAAGTGAGCTGCCAAGAGAACACAAAGGTGCAAGGGATATTTGCTCATGAAAACGGGGTGGTGAGATGTATGCCCACTGCATGACGAGAACCTCATCTGTTTCTTTTTTGCCTTGCCTCTCCTCTGGATGATGCATGCCTTCTGCTTTCCCCTGAGACTCTGGCTGCTCAGGAAAGTGCATCCCACCTGCTTTTCCTTTAAAAAGGGGGTCTGACAAAGCAAATTATGTCTTAAGAGAAATACATGGCTATATACGACATTGTGGCATACCAGTGTGCCCTCTAACACAACCTTCCTAAGTGCAAGTATAAAGGAAGATATTCTGACTGGAGATGTTACTTTTCCTTGATGCAGAATTTGGAAGTTTGATGTGAGAGGGGAAGGTAGAAAGAAAAGGTGCTGTATGCTAAAAGAAGGAAGAAGTTAGACAAGAAAATGATTTAAGGTCAAATGCACTCCAAGGCATATAACTCTGCGTATTTGAAGGTTTGTGTGAATTCAAATCATGGAGTGAGTGGGAGATTTGTCTTCAGGGTCCAGGCTCCAGAGTTTGAAGGCCTTGGATTTGGAGCTGCAAAGAATCCTATGGCCCCCAGACAATATTGCAAAGTTATAGGAGCGTGCCCTTCTTTGCTGTTGCTGCTCCTTCCCTGGTCTTTTCTGCAAGAGACTGCCTTTTGAGGTAGCTGCTGGAACCTAGTGCTTGCCTAATCCCATCTGCAAATCATTGCAGGATTTTTTTTAAACTTTGGCCATCGCTGTGCAGAATTGCTATGTCCATTGTTTGAAGGCCCTGAGAAACAAATTTAGTATGCAACAGTGTATTCCTTCTTTACATAATCTTCAAATATGCATACTCCTACTGTTTATCCTAAGAAAGTTGGGAGTTATCCAGCGAGGATGACTGGACTATGAAATAACATATGAATTATCTGGCCTCATTAACCCTCTTCTCTTTCCCTAGCTCCCATATTTAATTGATGGCGAGAGAAAAATCACACAGAGCAATGCTATCCTGCGATACATTGCACGCAAGCACAAAATGTGTGAGTGATTATTTGAATGCCCACTAAAAATGAAAACATATTGCTGCTAAATGGTGGGTTGGCAGGAGATTCTTACTTTCTATGTTGCATTGTCACAGGTGGTGAGAATGAAGATGAAATGATCAGAGTGGATATCCTTGAGAACCAGGTCATGGATTTCCGAATGGGATTTGCAAGACTGTGCTACAGCCCTGATTTTGTGAGTTTTGTGGTTTGTGCCCTCTTTCTACACTGGCTCAGATCAGGAATTCAACAGGTGAACTGAGAATTGGTTAGGGATAAATATGAAGTGAATAAGCAGGAATTCAGCACTTATGAAAGGTTTAACAAATAATCCTGAAGTTGGAAGGGAAACAAACAAACAAAAAAAATCTGTGTTTAGCATTGCAAGGGAGGGAGGGAGGGAATGAAAGAGAAGAGGCCTAGACATGGAAGCTTAATAGTTCAAGGGTCCATGAGACTTTAGCTGGAAATGTTTATGCATCTACCTCTTCTTGCAGGAAAAACTTAAGCCTGAGTACATGGAGCAACTACCTGGGAAGCTCAAGCAGTTCTCGCAATTTCTGGGAGACAAGAAGTGGTTTGTGGGGAAGAAGGTATATGTACTGAATGTGCTTTAAACAGAGACAAAGATAGCTCAAGTTCTCTGCTTCATTATAAAATGCTTTCCCTTTTTACCTTTTCCAGATCACCTATGTAGATTTCCTTGTATATGATGTCCTGGACCAGCAAAGGATCTTTGAGCCAAAATGCTTGGATCAGTTTAGAAATCTCAAGGATTTCCTTGCTCGCTTTGAGGTGATGTTTACTGTGATTTATGCATGAATCTCCACCATAGACTATTGAAGTTTGCTTGGACTGAGAACTCTCCTTTGAGAAACAATTACAAGATATGAGATTGTTTAGCTTAAAAAAAGGAGTGGAAGGAGAGACATGACAGAGGTGGAGAGAGGGCACAGAGATACATTTTTCTTCCTTTTTCATGACAGAACCTGGAGTCATGCCATGAAGTGAATTGGTAGACAATTCAGAGAAGAGAAAGAACATTCCCACAGAGTTAAAATATGGAATTCACTTGCACAGGACATAATGAAGGCCACAAATCTGGATGGCTTTAAAGGGTTTTGGATGAATTCCCGAAGGAGAAGCTATCCATGCCTGCTTGTTTTGCTGGCTGTCCTTTGTTATGAGAGGCAGCCGGCTCGGGGGCTGAGGGAAGAGGAAGGTCTTGCACTCCAGGCTTGCGTGTGAGGTTCCCGTGAGCAGCTGACTGGCCACTGTGTGAAAAGAATGCTGGACTAGATGGTCTGATCCAGCACAGCCCTTCTTCATGCCAGGGAACCTTCCCCAAATTGTTCTGCCTTTACCATGTCATTATATCACAGTCCCTAATTTGTACAAGTAAGGCTTTACGAGGGACGCTAGAGAAATCCACAGCAGATCTAAATGACATTGGATTTCTATGAATCTGACCCACAGAATCTGCAGAGGATCTGCTTTTCCAAAAACATGAGAGGAATATGAATACAAGGCAAAACTCTCTGAGCCCCTATTTTATCAATGAGGCTGGGCAATGACCCAATGAAAGCTTCATCAGAATGCAGCTCTTTATTGTGTAATTACCTCTGCCTTACTTGTGCAATTTTACCAGAAATCCAGAGAATGCCAGCATCCCTTTGTAAGCCTCCCATGTTTGCTACCATTTCTTCCGCATTCCTTCTTACCAGAAAAAAATCCAGTAAGGAAAGAAGAACAGACTAGGTGCACAGTGCCTTTATCAATTCATTAGGAGTCTTTCAACTAGAAGCAGCCCACTTCTCAAAGTTACACTTTTTATAGCCGGTTAGGGGTTTTGCAGTAGCTGGTTAGGGTGGAAACCGTTCAGATGGCCTGATAGAAAAGCTGATACTCCATGACAGCTGAGGAAAGCCAAAAGCAGATGGTGTCAGCCCTGCTTCCCTTTTCAAGGGATTCTATTTATAATGCTACTGCTGATAAGGGAGAAAACTTGCATTTCCTCTCCTGCTGCAGTGACAATTTTAAAAGTTGCTTGAATACCTCAGTCCCAAATTATTAAAATCTGTACTTCCAAGTTACAGTGCAAGAATGTTATATCTCTATGTTGTTGAAAAAAGTACACACTACAGGGACAGGGTGAAAGATGCCTCACAATTCCTCCTTTGATAGGAACTGATGAGTTGTTTAAGCTGCTGCAATAGCTTTTTGAGGTGTGGGCTTGAGAAAAGTTTGCTTCATACTTGCATTGCTTGGGGTGCTTAAATTGACTTCTCCAGTGAGCAAAGGGCAACTCCACTGGTTTAAGTATTATCTAAAAGTATCAACTACTTGCTTTCTTCCCCACCCCAACCTTAAGGCAAAGATTAGTCATCTGGGGTTTTTTTGCAGAATGTCTTTAGATTTGGCATGATTTCCCTTTCTTGCAAGACACATGTTTCAGCACTGGCTTTCTTTTTGGTTTTCTTTAAAGACTGAGCACGAGAGTGCCTATTTTTCCTCATTTCCAACAGGAAGGCATTACCTCCTCCCTGCCCCAAATTCCACAGAATAGGTGCTGCGGTGGACCAGTAGGAATCTCATAAAAATCAAACCGTGCCTTTCCAGAGCATAATAGAGTAACTGGCCTCTGTCACTGCTTGTACTCTGCCACTCATCCAGGCTGTTTGGCTTTCCAGTCTAGGTCTGGGGTGAGCAGCATGCGGTCCCATAAGCCAGATAGGACCCCTACTGGCCCCCAGTATATTTCAACCCAACTATAAGAACAAATCTGAAATGGCCACTGGATTCTTTTAGTGCTCTATAGCTACAAGGCAAACAAGCTAATGTTGACCCTTTGGGTACTTCAGCTGCTCCAGCTGCCAACTGTTAAATGGTTTTTATTTTCTTTTTTCAGTGTCATTGGAGATAGAGAGAGGCATTGCGTGCCAAGGGGAAAGGTCCAAGGAGCAAAAATGGCCCTAGGCCTCCTGAAATTGACTACCCCGCCCTAGAGAGTTCTAGGCAGCTACCTAGAAATGTGACTAAGTCTGCGCCATGAAATCTTCCTTTGCCAACTTAGCACTCACCCAAGTGTTTGGATTATGACTTTTGGCTTTCCACACCATTGGCTGTGCTGGCTGGGGCTGATGGGAGTCAGAGTCAAAAGCATCAGTCCATTCACAGTGGCCATCCAGCTGCTGTAGGTTCCCACAAGCAGGATGAGTGCAAAAGCAGCCTCCCACCCATGTTCCCCAGCAAATGGTGTGCACAGACATCCTGCCTCCTTTACTGGAGGTAGCATTTTGAAATCTAGTTTAGTAGTCCTTGACAGCTTTACCCTCCATGAATGTGTTTGGCCCCCTTAAATCTGCACTCCGATTTCCAGCACACCAGCTCTTGCTGCAAGGACACATTGGAAAGGCTTGCCATGCCAGGTTGCGATAAAGGCTTTGCACATTTTAAAAAATGCCAACTGTCTCATGTCATGGCTAATAGGCTTCCCGATACTAAGCAGGCATTTGCAGTTTTCTTCATGAGGTAGGTTCGGACTACTGAACTGTGCAATGCCATTGTTAGCTAATGAAGATCTTTCTTCTGACTTTCTCTACAGGCTTTGGAGAAGATTTCTGCCTATATAAATTCCGCCCGTTACATCAAGACTCCCATCTTCTGGAAAACTGCCTTGTGGGGGAATAAATAAGAGTAGATGAGACCACGAGGCTGCCGTGTTGACTCTTGTGACTATCTGCTAGATTCACGTGACACGACAACACATAGTCAAGGATGAGTGTGGATGGTTGTTGGACTGTGAACTCAACCTTACCATGTCTATGAACAACCCACAGAGAAAGCCCATGCTTTGTTGCTGAGTTATGAGCTGTGCATGGTTAACAAACCACACCTTGTTAGCACAGCTTGGTTCACACAACACGGCAACTGACAGTTCAATAGCAACCGACACCGACTCAACCCACAGCCCACTTTGAGTATGAGTTACTGTCCTGTGTGAATCCAGCAAATGTCTCAGTGAGCGACCGTGAATCACCTGCATCCTTCCATCCCTGTCAACTTCATCAAGGAGTGTCCAAATGCATCACTCCAAGATATGACGTATCTAATAAAAGTTCCTGGCCACTGAAAGAGCATATTGTCTTGCATTTCCTAGCCTCTGGCCATAAATTCCCCATAGCAATTACTCTCCATTCCTTCATTTTAAAGACAGATCAAATGCTGCTAGCAAACTATTGCTTTCCTATGGAAATATATTTGAATACTGTAGTCATTAGGCATAAAATAAGATGAGCCTGGAATGTGAAAAAGCATCTTCCTACCCCATCCCTGAGACACTGTTTCGCAGCCAGGTGGGGTGACAGCCAGGTGCATTGTTAGCTTGTGTCAGCCCAATACCTGTGAGCCAGGCACACTGGCAAGGACCAGGGAGACGTAAAGCAAGCTTGGTTGGTATGATCGAAAGTACTATAATGTGCTTTCTTCTTCCGATAAAGGGCTGTATTCAGAGTTTATCCTAAGTAGAGTAGATCCATTCAACTGAAGAGAATTTAAGTTAATTAAGGTGCTGGAAGTAGAAGAATTTTTTTTCTGTCTAAACATACCCAGGATGGCACCATTAAAAAACAAAAGCAGAATATTTTTCTGCTGCCCTTCAGCCCCCACACCCCGAGGCTCCCAAAACAGCTTACAATCAATTGATGAAATAAAACGGTTCCTCCTTGTAGGCATAAAAGCTTAAAGGTCAAAGACTGGGTTCAGAGAATATAACCTGAACTTGAGTGTTGAGTATGGTTTGAGTGTGGGTTGTGATTAAAATGTGGGTTATTGTGTTGTCTGAATTCAGTTGAAGAAATAAAATGGGATGGGGAATGTAAGGAAACTTCAGGGATTGTTGTACAGTTCCCTAGATACTCCCAGATGTCCAGCAACTAATCTTAACATTATTATAAAGGCATTTTTCTGACCCTGTAGCTACCTCCAGTGATTGATCTATGGGCATTTAGCTTTCATTCTGACCCCTAGCCCATCAATATTTACCCATATCAATACTCATAGGTATCCAACATGGTCCTGTAGATACTTGCCTCTTTCCATGAGCATTTATCCTGATCCTGAAAGATACTTAGCTGTATAACTCTGAGGATATCCATCCTGGCCTTTCAGGTATTTATGTCACTCTATGATCTTTTATCCTGAGTGCTGCAGACACCAGTATCACTGCAGAGACTTTCTGCCTTACCTGGCAGCAACTACAATTTCTAAGAAGTGGGTCCGATCCTTCAGCTATTGACCTGAATGATAGGCTGTACCAATTTAGATTAGTAAAAGCATACTGTTGCTGTATTCCATGGTTTCATTGTTCATTTGAGATAAGAATAGAAGATACATATTCCCATTGCTGATGGGACACACCTTGTAACATGGTCGAAGACAAAAAATGAGATTTTCAGCAGGGCTGGTGGAATAGCCGTGCTGTATCTCCAGAGGGTGGGCAGTCCAATCAGAGTCAGCTCTGGTGTCCTCTCAGCCTGCTCCTGCCTCCCTTGCTCCTTATACTCAAGTTATGCCTGTATTGGGTATGTTACAAAGAGCTGGGATTATGAGGTGAAATATAGACTGGGACGCAAAGCTCACAAATTTTACAACTCCTTTAAAAAAAATGCAGTTCAGTTCAATCCATTCACATTTTCTGCATTCATTCCAATAGCTACTCTTGCTGGAAAAGGGAGCCAGGTTGTGTGTATATGTATATTCACTGCCTCTTTAGTGACTGTGTCTTTCTCATAGTTATGGCCATATGTGCACAAGAGTGCAGGAGCTCTACAGTAAACAGCCTTCACAGAACAGTAGAAGTATGTTAAAAGGTGGGGCTGGGATAGAGTTACAGCTGTGTTGTTTGTGGCTAATTTTCAGCACAAACAAAGTTAACAGCATTGTGGGCCATGATCTGCTCTAGATTGCATGGAATATTAATACCCCAGTGACTAAATCACAGCTTCGTACGAAGATGTGCATTTAATTATGTAACAATTAAACAATTAGTTAGGTAACAAACTGGAAAGTCCAGTGGAAACTAGAGAGCAGAGATTTTCATCATCCAGGCAAGGAGTGGAACATTTCTTTCAGCCAAAGAGCCAAATTACATTTTGGAGAAATCTCTAGGGGCAGGGTCAAAGGCAAAAGGGTTAGGGTCAAAAGTACCAGCTCAGTGTATCTTAAAGTTTCTTCTGCCAGGAACTAAGCTGTAGGAGGGACAATACTAGATAGAAGCTCCTGTGAAGTATGAATCTGCTCCATTAAAGGGAAATGTATCTTCCTCCAGTCCTGGTTGAACATCACTTAGCTGGGCAGCCAAACCACTAACAGTATCCCTTGGACTAGTCTCAGCGTATTGGCTCTCTCCTATTGCCACACTGATTCAGAGTGCCCACTACCTCACTACCGCGTTGCAATGCCTCTAACTCCTGGCTCAGTCACACCTCCCCATCTCCCTTCTGGCAAAGCCCTTCCCAGAAGGTGACAAAGGCAGTTTCCATTCCAAAGCCGGCCCCAGTGCCCACCTGAAATAGATCCAAATAATCAGTTGCACTCATGGGTGCTTGGAGCTCCTTAGCAACCACCTGCTCAAGCACTTTGCCCAGGAAAGAGATAGTAGCAGATGATCTATAGTTGTTAACAACTTCTGTGGCCATGCTAGCCTTTTTCAGGAGTGGCCTATCAAGGATGGAGCAGGGGCAGCTCCAGTGGAAGATGAGCCATGCTCTGTTTGATCTCCTCTAGAGGAGGCCTATTACAGTGTGGCTCAGCCTACGCCACACATGCTGATAACTCACATGCTGCTTGGGCACTTTGGTGCAGCTGTCAGAGGCACTTGTCCAGTTATTTACCCATGTAGCTCTGCTTTGGACTACACTTGGGCTTTCTGTGCTGTGGCAAGCCCAGGGGTGGCTACAAAAGTCTACAGGAAGCCATAGTTTGGGGGAGGGGTTGGGTGGCTCTGTAGCCATGAGGAAGCCACCCCAGGGGAATTGCATTGGTTTGGGCAGCATACTAGTCCACCGTAGTTTTCACAATGGATAATACGTTCTGTGAATCCCATTTTCTCTTCCTCTTTTTACAGCCATGGACTCCCAAGGTCAAATCAAACCCAATCCTTTTTTTTACCGTTACTTGTACTATGATACTGAGAAGTGGATTGTTTATTCCACCAGTGGTGATGTAAACTGTGTTTCAAAGGGAATTGCAATGCAAACAATTGCCTTAAATATTGTTGGGTGATGCTTTGTTAAAGACATAGTCCTATGCAAGTTTAGACAGCAAAAGGCCT